CTCATGTTGCAATTTTAATAGGACTAGGAGAATAATGATTACTGAGAAACTAGGGGAGGCTTCACAGGAGAGGCAGGAATTGAGTTGGTCTAGAGGAAAGTAGGTGTTATGAGCTGAGTTGTAGTGTCAAGAACTGTGAGAAATAAATATCTGTTGTTTATAAACCACTCTGTCCGTGTGCTTTTGTTATAGCAGCCTTAATGGACACACAGCAGCACTCAAATCTGAAATTATAAAATTTATTTTTAGCTTGTTTATCACTTGTCTCCCCACACTAGAATGTGAGCTCAATAAGATAAGACCTCAGCTCTCGAATTGACCACTATATCCCCAGTACCTAGAACATGTCCTAACAGTACGTAGGTGCTGAATAAGTATCTGTATCAAATGAATGAAATGTCCTGAAAAATGCAGTTAAAAGAAGATTTTCTTTGAGAGGCATGGAAAAGTCAGACAGGCAATTCTGGTGAATATTGGAAGAGACTTCTCGCTGACTTTCCTTTGCTTTAAGGGTGGCAAAACTGAGACTGTAGAGAAACTACAAATGCTGTGCAAGGGACCAGCATGGGGGACAGAGGACCAGCCCTGGAGCAGATCAGAGAGGTTTGTCCAAACCACACACAACAGAAACATGCACACACATATACACACAGGCATGCTGTGTTACCCGTATGTGAAAGGGAAAGTTAAACTTGGGGCAAAGACTAAAGGTTTAAGCTTTAGACATTCTTGGCTGGGTGCCAAAGTTCACACCTATAATCCCAGCACTTGAGGAAGACGAGATGAGAGGATTGTTTGAACTCCGGAGTTCGAGATCAGCCAAGGAAGTATAATGAGACCTTGTCTCCATGAAAACCAAAAAATTAGCTGAGTGTGGTGGCACGTACCTGTAGTTCCAGCTACTTGCGAGGCTGAGACAGGGGTATTGTCTGAGCCCAAGAGGTCATGGCTGTGGTCAGCTGTGATCGTGCCACTGTCCTCCAGACTCAGATGAATTAATGAATGCATTGATTGATTAATTAAGACATTATTTTGTATAGCAAGTCAAAATCTCATGAAGAGTGTGTAAAATAACATATATCACATTATTCTGTTATATATATTACAAGTTACATGAGGAAATTGAAACCCTCTGCAGCCCTGCCCAAGTAGAGGGAACCATTTAGGGCTATTCAAAACGATTAGGATTGGCAACTCTTGACACCAGAATGAATGGCTGCCTTGGTTCAGCTGTTCTTTTTTTTTTTTTTTTTTTTACCATTTTTGACAAGTGCATTTGAATGACCATTATTGTTTTATTCATGTTAGGTTTATCATTATTGCAGTTAACCTCATATTTACTTTGGCTACTATCCTTCTTTGAAAGTCTTTGACATTTCAGTTGGTTTTGATTTGTCTTTTTGGTAACACTCCATGAATAACAACTTAAATTTAAATAGTGCTTTTCAGCTTACAAAAAATGTATTATCATTTTCACCCTTGAACAACTCTGAGGGATAGACAGAGATTATTCTTTCTATTTTATAGGTGAGGAAACTGAGGTTTAGCAAGGTCATAGGTATGGAGTATGGCAGAGCCAAAACTCAAATACAAGTCTTTTGACTTCTACGATGTTTTTCTCACATGACAGGATGCTCATCACTATGCCAGTCTAGCTGGTAAAGTTCCAACACCTACACCGATTAGATGTGCTTATGTTTACATGCACACTCATATGCACCAGCTGTCAAACAAATGAAAATCAAAGAAAACCCCAAGGAGAACTCACAATATTATTTTGCTCTGCATCCTCAGAAAAAGAAGAGAGGCAAGGAAACTCACTATCACCATTTCTTCCCAGCAGAAATTTTAAAGTTCCTTTTCCCCCACCAGGTGTTTGTATAATGTTACTCAAATCTGATGTTCTTTTGAGCGATTTGGGAGAACCACTTTGACCACCAAAAATATCCTCAGGGGCGGGAGAGAAATTAGTAAGAATAAGTCAAGCGGTAAATTCTAACCAGGCCGCTATATAATATTCAAGTTAAAACTGAACCAAGTTTATTTAAATAAAGAACCAGAGAAATGGCAGATGGCAGACCTAAGAAGGTGGTTTGGGGGAGAGAAAAGCCAAGATTCTAAGAGGAAAAAATTGTGTAAAGCAGGATCCCAGTTGGTCTTTGGTATTCAATTCGTCTTCTTCCAGGTATTTAATCTCCTTCCAGTTTTCCAGAATTTCATTACATTGTCCTAGTTTAAATATTATTAAGCATAATCCAACACATCCACTGAGTTGATGGAAGGGTGAAGGACCAAGCATGCTAGCTTGTTATTAAAGATACCACCACAAGTCTGGGGTTCAATAATTAAATTTACTCATCCTCAAAGGTAAAATTAAGTCCCAGCTTATACATTACCTGGTGTTGTCACATATTTCTGGTATATAAGCAACACTTTCAGCTCTCTAGTGACTACCTTAGAGACAATTAATGCTAGAGCTAGATAAGATTTAAGAGAAATTCCAACTCTTATTTTTAACAAAATGAAGAACCCAAAGGGATTTGTTTAGATGTGTATAACTAGACAAGAAATAAGTACTGGTCTTTAAGTGGGGAAAAAAAAAAGCAAGAAACAGAGTGCATATAGCATGCTGTAATCTATGTTTTAAAGGGACATATGTTACATGTACATATACATAGAAGAGCTGAAAAATATTGGGAAATGAGAAAAGTTCTTGCTTCAAAGAGAAGGAATTTTAGATATTGGAGAACCAGAATTTGGAGGAAACTTTACTTTCTGCTAGATTCCTTTGCTACTAATTAATAGTTCACACATCCATCACACTACTAAGAGCATAAGCTTCTTGATGGTAAGGCCCAATGACCATACTATACTCATATTTGTGATCCTGGGTGGGCCTAGCATGGTTTCTAGTAGGAATTCAATAAATTACTAGTGAGTAGTTATGGTAGATGTTCTTTTTCTACCTAAAACAAATGTAACTATTAATTAGCATAAATCAATATTAATTGCATGACTCTTTCCAAATGGCTTATAATCATCATTCTTACAAGAACAGAAAATAACAGGTTTATGTATTCTCTCATTTTTCCAGTCATATATTATTAAGAGTACACTTGAAATAAACAATTCTTGGGACTATTCTGATTTATAAAATGAGGAAAATTGTATTAATCTTTTTGCTGACAATTTTTTTTCATTTTTCCCCCAAAGGGTAAAAAAATGATTAGTTAGTATATTTAGGAAAATTGTAAAGCAGTGAATTTTATGGTAGGGACTCATATTAAATATTTTCTTAGGTGCTTCTTATTAACCACTCCTTCTGTAGCCTGTTTACACTCTTGGCATCGCCCTTGAATCGGATATTGCAAAGTCAATGCACATTTTCTAAGAAGTGGAAAACTATGATCCAGAATCAAGTAAGGCAGAAGCAAAGAAAATAAACTCCCATGAGAATGGAAATTAAATTATTTATAGACAGAATTGTTTTCAAAGTTTTCCAGAAGATACATTAAAAATTGTGAGAAACTTGCCACTTCCTCTCTCTGTCTCTCTCTCCCTCCTTTTCTCCCAGCATTCAACTTGAGATTCAGATTTTCACTAAGCCCCTTAACAAGATGTGAGCTATGTGTAGTGGGTGTGTGCCCAGTATCAATATCAGAGTAGGGGTCGGGGACTGAACAGACTTAAGTATGTACCACACCTGCCCTCTAGTGTGCATTTGCCAACACTGCATTTCCCGGACTGTTTGGTTTTCAGCTTAGCGTGTTTCCCAAACAGGTTTTTTTCAAACTGGTTTTTATAAACAGATAAACCCAGTGTATATTTACTCTGTGAACTGCCAATTTGCAAAGAGTGCTATTGCAGGGCTTAAAAGCAGTTTATTCTTGTGAATAGTTAAACATCTTCCCCCAGCTTATTTATACAGATAATTTACTTTGTAAATGATTTTCTTTCATAAAAGTACAAAGATAGACTTTAATAGCCCCATGAGTCACATTCTAAACAAATGACTTCATAGTATTTGAACAGACAAAATAAACGTGCATCAGGACGATAGTGATGCTTTAAATGACATTTTCCTGCTGTCACATAAAGAGGCATTTTCCTCCAATTCAGAGGACTTCAGTTTTCTGTGGCTAAGTCAAAGCAATCACAAGGCATCTGGCAGATGAAAAATCTCTGCTGTGGCATAAAGTTTCCAATTAGAATAGAATTCTGGAACTTATTAACAAAGTCTAACTTGTCACCAGGTTTGCCTCTTTTTATCAAAATTGATTCTACCTGTTTGGATTAGGTTCCATGCAAATACGGGATGCCCAAAATGTTTTAAAGGAGAGGGAACTTCACTTCTGTCTTGGGTAAACGAATTCTAAATCTAAGGACTGGTATGACACCTCCACATTCAACCAGGGCTAAGGTTTTTTTCTAGCTTGTTTTGCCATCCTCAGTGCACAACCTTCATCTTATGGTCCGAGGTGTTTGGTCCATTTCCAGGCAACATATCAGCATTCTGGTCAGCAAGAAGGAAGGGAGGACACGCCCACTCCCTTTTAGGATTCCTCTTGAAAGGCGCGCCCATTGCAACTACACACCATTGGCTACCACTTTGTCACATGGCCTGTCTGCTGAAATATCTTCCTTCTAGGCTGCTTCGTTCCCAGCTGAAAATCAGAAATACTATGCAGTACTACAAAAGAAAGGCAGACATCAACACCTGGAACAACTAGCAGTCTCTCTCATACCCTATATTCGCACCAATTGCCTTCATTTGATAGACTCTATTTATTCTTCTCTGGTTTTTGTTGTTGTTGTTGTTGTTAGATACTTCTTTGTTTCTGTAGAAAGGTAGCAACTTTCTTTTAATTTGTCTTTTACCATGAAGTTCTGGTGATAAAGACTGTGTTTTCCTGCTTTTGTTTTTTCTTTCTGTCTTAAATAAATTCGAGTCACTGGGCCTGCAGGTTTTCACCATGTTGGTGCACCTGTTCTCTTCACAGGTGATGGCTGTGCCACCTGGGCCTCTGCAGCTGCTGGGGGTGCTGCTTACCATTTCCCTGAGCTCCATCTGGCTTGTTCAGGCCGGTGCCTACTATGGGATCAAGCCACTGCCACCTCAAATTCCTCCTCAGATGCCACCGCAGATTCCACAATACCAGCCCCTGGGTCAGCAAGTACCTCACATGCCTTTGGGCAAAGATGGCCTAGCCATGGGCAAGGAGATGCCCCACTTGCAGTATGGCAAAGAGTATCCACACCTTCCCCAATATATGAAGGAGATTCAACCAGTGCCAAGGATGGGCAAGGAAGCAGTACCCAAGAAAGGCAAAGGTAACTTCATACTTCCATGCTGTGATAAAACAACAGCTTTCCAAGTGCCTAAATTATGGGATAGGTGTGAAGGAGAAGCTACATTTTAGAAACTTTTAACTGAGAATTTGTTACTGACATGTATTAAGTGCCTACTGTGTTCTAAATCCTACTCTTGACAAGTTCAAGTCTTAAAGGTACAGTTAAAATTACCATTTTATGTTTTGCCTGATTATTTTCATTAGCATGAAATGAAACAAAACATATTTAATGAGAAATAGTCTCATTATGTACTCAAAAATCAGTTACTCATATAGGTACTCGAAAATTCAGGAACTATCTAGCAAGCAATTATTTTGTGTCAGGCGCGGGGTCAGATGCTGGGGCATAAAGTAGTAGGGAAAAAAAAAGAAAGGTAATAAATTGGTCTTCTGAAGTGGGAGAATAATGTTGTAAGGACCTGTTGTATTAAAATTACATGAAGCCTTTTGCAAACTTGGTATTAGATATATGCAAGTGTTTTTAATACTGCTGTAATGAAGCTACACATGTCAATCAATAAATAAATAGAGAAAGAAACTAAGTACAGACAGCACCTAGGGAAGATACCTGAAAATCTCTCCTGTTACTTCCTAGGCATATTTACTAGTTATTCAGCACCTGTCAGATCCCCCTCCCTGTGATAGACAATTATAAATTCAGTTGGTTTATCTGAAGTTCTCAGAAGCCTAGCATTTGTGCGAAAAAAAAGTTGCATCATCAGAGTAGCAGTTGCCTTTGAGGAAATGTAGGCCATTTCCAAGAGTCCCTACCATGCAGGAAGCGCCACCTCTAGAGAACTACTGGATTTGGCGCTAAGAGGCCTAGAAGCCTGGATGCCAGAAATGAGGGAGCCCCAGTCATTTGATATTTTTGAGCCTGTTTTTCTTCATCAAAATAAGATTGCTGAGAAAACCATACAAGGTAAGTAAAGGGCTGGGTAAATGCTAAAGCACCATAAGAACTCTGAGTTGCTACAACTGGTTGTTCAACAAATCCTCAGTAAGGACAGAGCACTGTGCTAAACTAGACACCAGAGGTTTCTGAGGAATAAGATGTGACAAGACATTCCCTTGATGTAGTAACTTCACAATTCTCTGCTTAGAAATAACACACCTGGCCAGGTGCGGTGACTCACATCTATAATCCCAGCACTTTGGGAGGCTGAGGCGAGAGGATTGCTTGAGCCCACAGGTTTAAGACCAGCCTGGGCAATTTGGCAAGACCTCATCTCTACAACAAATAAAAAAATTAACTGGGAGCAGTGGTGCATGCCTATAGTTCCAGCTACTTGGAAGACTGAAGCGGAAGGATCACCTGAGCCAAGCAGGTTGAGGCTGCAGTGGCCGTGAGTGTGTCACTGCACTCCAGCCTGGGCAACAGAGTAAGACTCCAACTTGAAGGAAGGAAGGAAGGAAGGAAGGAAGGAAGGAAGGAAGGAAGGAAGGAAGGAAGGAAGAAAGGAAGGAAGGACATACCTGAATAGTATCTTTCAGCATAAGAGAAGTATTCCCAATTTTCCTTTCTTTAGGGGCTGGTATTCTACTTAAAAAATTATCTCAGCAATTTGTTTTCCTCTTTCTTGAATGGCTTGCCTGGTCTTTGATACTTCTTGTACTTATTCAAATGGGTACTCATATTTTAAAAGAACACGAGTTGTTTCTATTGTGTTCCCTTGCAGTAGTGAAAAGTACAATGGTCAGAATTAAGTTGTTACTAGTAGTTACCAGATATTGGGACCATACATTTCATTCCTTCACACTAGCCATTCATCCCAGCAGCGTGAGAGTTTACCTGCTAGGCATGGCAAAGTCATTATAACACCCATGTGCTTTGTAGTTCGATAATAATGTGAGAAAGTGTGACACTTTCACATCTATTCTCTAATCTTGTAGTGTGTTTATATCATCCTTGCTGTACAGATAGGCAAGCAGAAATGCTGATAGCTTAAGGGACCCAGTGATAGTCTCATGTCAAGGCCAGAAAGATAAGCAAAGTCTCCTGCTCCTAAACCAAGTGCTCTTCTTTATCATACAGCTTGTCATTCTAAAATATCTTATTCACATTTCCTATTATAAAAACAAAATTTGCATGTGAAAAATGTATTAAATTGAATAACTCATAGTTGAGGCTTAGGAAATCCTACAGCACATTAAAGAAATCAAGCAAATCTATTGACTCTAAAGGACAGTTGTGGAAAGGTGTTATTGAACCACATACAAAATAAAATACTTCTATTCTTTCCTGAGTTCACATAATAATGGTGTTCATCATCCTCACCACACAGTATTTAAGCATAAGAGGAAAGATTATTTAGCCACAAGTTATTATATTTTTCAGAAAACCAGCCAGGCACAGAAAGACAAATACTGCATGTTCTTATGTATATGTGAAATCTAAAACAATCAAACTCATGGAAGGAGAGAATAGAAGGGAGGTTACCAGAGGACTTGGGCATGGGAGAAAGATAGGGAGGTGATGGTCATAGGGCACAAAGCCTCAGTTAGACAGGAGAAATAGTTTGGTTGTTGGAATATATTGCACAGTATGGTGAATATAGTTAATAATAATGTACTGTAGCCGGGCTCGGTGGCTCAGCCTGTAATCCCGCGCCTTTGGGAGGCTGAGGTGAGTGGATTGCCTGAGCCCGCGGGTTCGAGACCCGCCTGGGCAGCGAGACCTCATCTCTACAATAAATTTAAAAAAAAAAAAAAAATCAGCCAGGCGTGGTAGCGCATGCCTGTAATTCCGGCTACTTGGAAGGCTGAGGCGGAAGGATCGCCGGAGCCCAGCGGGTCGAGGCTGCAGTGGCCGGGAGCGGCCACTGCACTCCAGTCTGAGTGACAGAGTGAGACTCCAACTCAAAATTAAAATAATAATAATAATAATAATGTACTGTATACTTCAAAATCGCTGAGAGTATATTTCTAATGCTCTCACCACAAAAAAATAAGTTTTTGAGGTGATAGATATGTTTGACTTGATTTACTTATTCCATATTGTATTCATAAATCTTAACATCTTAACATTTTGAGTCCCATAAATAATATACAACTATAAACTGTCAGCTTGCAATAATTTTTAAAAATAAAATTAAAACAAAAAACTAGGTCATAGAAAAATACAACATAACTTTAAGTAGAAATAAAATAGAAAAAAATGGATAATAATTCCAATATTGTTTAAAATATGTGCACGTGTGCACATGCACACACACACACACACACACACACACACACACACAAGCCTAGAATTCATGAGATGAAAATACATGTAAATGTCAAGTGATTATCTGAGTTAGCATTGATTTTTCTTTATACACCTTCGAGTTTTCCAAATTCACTGTAATGAACATGCCATCCTCTCCACAAGTCTTATACTTGGAAAAATGTTTCTTCATCACTTTTTAGCTTTTTTACTTAACCAATGTTGACACAAGCAGCTGCACATATAAGTTCTCAAAAATACCTCAAATACAGCAAAGAAATCATCAGCTTGATTTTTCTTTAAGTCCTGGAAGATGAGCGTATTATTCCTAGTTAATAGGCAAATGATTGTTATTTCATTAATATGCGGGATAATCCATGTTAATTAATCTGTCTGTCTCTCCCTCCCCTTCTCTCTCTCTCTCTTTTCTCTTTCCCAGTAGAAATACCATTAGCCAGCTTACGGGGGGAACAAGGTCCCCGTGGAGAGCCCGGCCCAAGAGGACCACCTGGGCCCCCCGGCTTGCCAGGTCATGGGATACCTGGAATCAAAGGAAAACCAGGGCCACAGGGGTATCCAGGAGTTGGAAAGCCAGGCATGCCTGGAATGCCAGGGAAGCCAGGAGCCATGGGCATGCCTGGAGCAAAAGGAGAAATTGGGCCCAAAGGGGAAATCGGGCCTATGGGGATCCCAGGGCCACAAGGACCTCCGGGGCCTCACGGGCTTCCTGGCATTGGGAAGCCAGGTGGGCCAGGGCTACCAGGACAACCAGGAGTAAAGGGTGATCGAGGACCCAAAGGACCACCGGGACCTCCAGGCCTTCAGGGTCCCAAAGGAGAGAAGGGCTTCGGGATGCCAGGCCTGCCAGGCCTAAAGGGTCCTCCAGGGATGCATGGCCCTCCCGGCCCCGTGGGGCTGCCAGGAGTAGGCAAACCAGGAGTGACAGGCTTTCCTGGGCCCCAGGGCCCCCTGGGAAAGCCAGGGCCTCCGGGAGAACCTGGGCCGCAAGGCCCTATTGGGGTACCAGGGGTTCAAGGACCTCCTGGGATACCTGGCGTTGGAAAACCAGGCCAGGATGGGATCCCTGGCCAGCCAGGATTTCCAGGTGGCAAAGGAGAGCAGGGACTGCCAGGGCTGCCCGGACCCCCAGGCCCTCCAGGGATAGGGAAACCAGGCTTCCCAGGACCCAAAGGAGACCGGGGCATGGGGGGTGTTCCTGGGGCTCTTGGACCACGAGGGGAGAAAGGACCCATAGGTGCCCCTGGAGTTGGGGGTCCCCCAGGAGAGCCAGGCCTGCCTGGGATCCCAGGTCCCATGGGTCCTCCGGGTGCTATTGGTTTTCCTGGACCCAAAGGAGAAGGTGGGATTGCGGGCCCTCAGGGGCCACCAGGTCTCAAGGGTGAGCCAGGGCTTCAAGGCTTCCCAGGAAAGCCAGGTTTCCTTGGTGAGGTAGGGCCTCCTGGCATGAGGGGTTTGCCAGGGCCCATAGGGCCCAAGGGAGAAGCTGGGCACAAAGGCCTGCCAGGGCTCCCTGGTGCTCCAGGGCTTCTCGGACCGAAGGGAGAGCCAGGAATCCCAGGGGATCAAGGATTACAGGGCCCCCCAGGCATCCCGGGGATTGCAGGCCCTAGTGGCCCCATTGGACCACCGGGAATTCCAGGCCCCAAAGGAGAACCAGGCCTTCCAGGGCCCCCTGGGTTCCCTGGTGTCGGGAAACCCGGAGTGGCAGGACTTCACGGCCCCCCAGGGAAGCCAGGCGCTCTTGGTCCTCAAGGCCAGCCTGGCCTTCCGGGGCCCCCAGGCCCTCCGGGGCCTCCCGGACCCCCAGCGGCGATGCCCCCGACACCACCGCCCCAAGGCGAGTACCTGCCAGATATGGGGCTGGGAATTGATGGCGTCAAACCCCCGCGTGCCTACGGGGCTAAGAAAGGCAAGAACGGAGGGCCGGCCTACGAGATGCCTGCGTTCACCGCCGAGCTGACCGCACCTTTCCCGCCGGTGGGGGCCCCGGTGAAATTTGACAAGCTGCTGTACAACGGCAGACAGAACTACAACCCGCAGACGGGCATCTTCACCTGTGAGGTCCCCGGCGTCTACTACTTTGCGTACCACGTTCACTGCAAGGGGGGCAACGTGTGGGTCGCTCTGTTCAAGAACAACGAGCCCGTCATGTACACATACGACGAGTACAAAAAGGGCTTCCTGGACCAGGCGTCCGGGAGCGCGGTGCTGCTGCTCAGGCCGGGAGACCGGGTGTTCCTTCAGATGCCCTCGGAACAGGCCGCGGGACTGTACGCCGGGCAGTACGTGCACTCCTCGTTTTCAGGATATTTATTGTATCCCGTGTAAACAAGAAAAGAAAAAAAAAAAAAAAAAAAGAAAGAAAGAGATTTAATAGAAGAAAAGAAAATGCACCTGACAAATGAAAAACATGAATTGCTTCGAAACATTTATATAGTTGGAAAGTTATATTTAAGTGAAAATTTGGACCATCGTGTACAAATAAAAACTAAGATGCATGTTTAATACTCTGCACAGCAGCTTGTAATTGAAAATGATGGGATAGATTTATGTATCAAGTACTGACACTCGGTTGTACCCACTGGAATCAGATTAGCTGTTGTATGTTATACGCTTCCACGATAACCTGCTTATTCAGATCAGTCGAAATATATCAGTATGAAAGAACATAGCTAATGAAAGTCACTCACTCATATTGTTTACTTTAAAATATTTATAAATATGCCTTAAAGAAATATCAGTGATAACAAGTACATACCGTATTTACTTAATTTCCTCTGTATTTGTGCAGATACTTTGACGTGGAATGTGGTGGGGGGAGGGGTCTGTAGTGTTACTGCTCATAATGGGAGGGGACTTTAGTCAAAGGGATGTTTCTCCTGTGTCAGATGCTGTGTTTTTTAGTAATAGGAGTCCTAGTCAGAGTCGTTTTTGGTGTCTCCAAAAGAACATGTGAACCCATCGACCATTTTGAATGGACTCAGTGCCTTCTCTGTATTTCGCACTGGGTAAGACACTTTTGTGGAGCATTACACAGTGCCCCACAAGGAGCTAACAAGCTAGCTGGGAGACATGAGTAGTGATTAACTCATTTATTCCTCAAGAGTTTCTATTTTTTTTTCTGTGACTTATTTTTCTTTTTTCTTCTGTTCACGTAATTTTCACTATGGACCATCTAATATAAACACCTGGAAGTTACAGGACAAAAATAACCCTTCCTCCAAGAACTTTCTGGTTTTGTGGAATGTTTATTTTGAACAGAAGTTATCGATTGTGCTTACATACATTAAAAATTCCCCTCCTTTGCCTACACACACAAACAACCACAGTGAGGTTTCAGTCATGAAGATACCAGTATTTTACAGTAGTTGTAAATGTGGAAGAAATTTCCCTGTGTAATATGTATGCAAATTGACGTGTCATCTGAAGTTCCAAAGTCAATTTCTAAAATCCAAACCATCTTTATTGGGGAGAAGGGTAGTTTCAGAATTACATAGAAAAAAGTTAATTTTTCTTTGAAAACGTAATTCTGAAATTTGAAATTTAAAAACAAATGTGCTGTTTCCAGGTGTAGGTGCTAACATTGTAGGAAAAGAACTGTTTCTTTGGAAGCAACCTGTGGAAGAGCTGTCTAGAATGTCAAGGGGCAACAACAGCTCCAGCTTTTTCTATCACCCTATACAGCACAAGTCAAGGATCAAAACAAGTTTGAAAAGGAGAAATAACTATTTCTCCAGGTCTTCACTTAGGCACATACTGCCTTGGTCATTCTAATCTGGTCTCAAAACAGAGAAAAGCCAATTCGAGTTTGCTATTAGCCTGCTGCTGGCACTATTAGCCACTTGGAGCAATAATGTGGGATTATGGTGGTGGAATCTTGTATCTTTTTGTCAAAATTAAAACAGTGAGGAGTTGAGGAGATAGATATAGATGAAAAAATACACAAATACAGTATAAAAACACATGGAAATGTGTCTTTGTCAAATCTGAATCATTTTTACCATCACAAAAATTCTTCTCTTGGCCTAATATCTCTTTAGGATACAAGCACCATTTCTTCTCGATTTTTAAGAGAAATTAATTAATTATCACAGGGTTTTTTATTCACTGCTAATTATATAACACATGTTTCCCATCAAAACAATGTTCTACCCAACCTTCATTTTCAAAGCAGACAGCATTTATGTAGTCAAATATCTTTTGTGTTGGTCTTGAAGATGCTGGTTTGGGGGCTGATGACCATGAAAACAACATGGACCACTGGGCTCCTTCTGCTAAATAGTTGCATTGAAATGGCTTGAAAGCAAGTCGAATCAGGTGATTTGTAAAATTGTATTTATCTGTACATGTATGGGCTTTTAACTCCCATCAAGCAAGAGAGACATTATCTCTTTAGTCAAAACCAAATTTCACTTTTCAAAATGTCTTCCAACTTATTTATTGGTTGTCACTCAATTGCCTATATATATGTGTGTGTGTGTGTGTGTATTATCAGGCATAGGCTTCTAACTTTCAGATGAGGGAGGAGCAAAATCTATGCCAAATACTGTGTATTCTACAATGGTGCTAATCTCATACCTAAATAGTACTCCACTTAATTTAAAAAAGAGTTTTAAATAATTAACTATGTGCCTATGTTTCCCTTGTAAGTGCTGCACATCATGTTAATACATTAGTAGAAAAGAAGATGAAACAACCACATGTTCTAAAGTCAAGGGATCATGCTATAATCCCTATTTAATTCAAAATCAACTAGAACTTTTCCATATGAAATGGACCAAACTGGCATTATTGTTATTTAAATACAGAATTTTAATGCAGTATGACATCCCACAGGGGAAAAGAATGTTTGTAGTGGGTGACTGTTCTCAAATATTTTACAGAATACAATGAACGGTGAACAGACTGGTAACTTGTTTGAGTTTCCATGATAGATTTGAGACTTGTCAATAGCAAATCATTTTTGTATTTAAATTTTTGTACTGATTTGAAAAAAGTCATTAAATATCTTTAAAAGTGTGTTTCTCATCTTGTTCATATCACTCAGCTGACACTGAACCTCAAGTTTTTAAAAAAATTCATAATTGTATTAATTAGCTGCTGAAATAGAGACCTAAAGTGAGCATAATTTATACAGAACAAGGTATTACTCTTTGACATAAGATTTCCTAGGATAAGCAGTCTGGGACTCACATGGGAGCTCCAATCAAGGGCCCAGGTTCCTTCTGTCTTGTGGCCCTTTCACCCGAGGGTGTTGTCCTCATCTCCAGAATACTAGTCCAGAATACTAGTCATCACAGTCACACTCCAGCCCCTGGGGGATAAACAAAGCTGGAAGGGTAGGGCATGCTTTTTGTCTTAAAGGACTCAGCTATTAAAGCAGCTACTTGAATCAATCCCTCCCACATCCCATGGCTCTGAATTTCATCACACTGCCACAATAAGCTGCAAGGAAGTTGAACATTTATTCTAGGTAATATGCCCAGGGAAGATCAGGGGTTCCATTAATATGGGAGAAGGGAGAATAGGTAATAAAGGACAATTAGCTGCTACATCTGTCACATCCATCCTAAAATTTAAAAATGGCCACAGACCTCTCTACACACACACACACACACACACACACACACACACACACACACACACACACCAGTCTTCAAATATTCCACTCTATTTCATTCTGCCATATGCGAGCCTGATATCTTGAGGGGATATAGAGGTGAGCAGAGTTACAGGGCAGAAGCAGACCTGTTTGAAAAAACTATGGGTCTTAATAAGCATCACTGAGAAGGAAAGAATTCTTTTGTGATGATTTATGAAGGCCAGCATAATCATAACCTATCATGTCTAAAATATTATACAGGGATTATTCAAATCATTCAGTACAAAAGTAGGTACCACCAGCCTATGGTTGGTTAACTTGCTTATTTAAACCATCAGGCAGGAAGCTCAAGAACAGAGCTTCCATTCCCATGTAACTTATTTCATTCTACAGCCAAAGATACTTCATCACAGTCATCATGTTGGCATACAATGTTGTTACAGAAGTGAATGGAAGGATAGATACCAGAAATGGAGGCAGGAAGGAATAAACATTTAGGATTCAGAATGCTGGACAAGCAGGGCAAATCTGTCATCACTATGACTGAAGAAAGGAATTCAAAACATATATCTTACTTACAGTGGGTATAGCATTCCTTTATGTTAAAACAAAACACTAACAAATAGTTCCTACTTTGTGTCTGACACCCTAAGCAATGTGAGGCATACAAAAGCAACAGAAAACATATTCCTTCTCCTTAAAAAATAAAATAAATATATCTTCTGCTTGGAGGATGCCAAGATGTTTATTAAACAGGCAAGTTATTTCCAAGAATAGGATGGCGTGATACCGACTGGATGCATACATGTTAGAGAATTTTAGAAGGAGAAAGATGGTTCCATGCTGCCTCTTCCTGGGAGAAGCTTCTCTGACTTGTCTGCCAGGTAAACTCCTCCTCACCCTCAGGGCACAGAAGAAGCATTACCTTCTGTTTAAACTTTCCCTGTTTTTTAAATTCAGTCGTTTTCTGCCCCACATCACCAACCTGCCTTGTACATTCTTCTGCTCCTTCACTTTTTCTGCTTTGTACATGAAACTCTTGTCTGTCTCCCCTATGAGAGTATAAGCTTCTTGAGAGCAGGTGCCTTATTCTTTCATCTTTGCATCCACGGCTCACCACAGAGCTGGTCCAATACTAGGGTTCAGGGAAGAATGAATCTCTCAGGGATGCTGGTGGGGGGTGGGGGGACATCCTTAACTGGATGTGAGATTAGACTGAATGGCAGGAAATCCCTTTCCACTCTGGCATTCCAAGATTAAACAGGAGCTAACTAAGGGATAAAACTTAATTTCATATTGCTTTCTAGAGAAGGTGATTTTTAAAGAAATGCAGAATTTGGATAAAGCGAGTGTGAAATTATCCCAAGAGAAATAGCCTCTCCTATGTGGAAGCCGGGTATATATGTGTTCTAGGCTAGGGGTGGGAAGGAAGGGAAAGAAGCTGAGATCAGGAAAATGGTCTGACAAGAACAGAGCATCTACCCAAGGACTAGTAAAGAAAACCAATAACTAGAGGAGGATCACGTGATGCAGTGCTTTGCATGTAGGGAAGAGCCCTTTCTATTTTATCTAATACATAATAGGAAACCATTATAGGCCCTTCAGTGCAAAAATGGTGTAAAGATAAGTATTTCAGAAAAATTATTTTGATGATTCTATGAAGTTGATACTGGAGAAGGGAAGATACAGGTAGCAAAACCAATTAAGGGACCAGAGCAGCTCTCATGCAGAAATGAAATGTTGGGTGACAGTGAAGAGCCTTCACAGGCCTCACAAGTAAGGAGGGTAGGGCAGATGGGTTCAGGTGTCAGGAGGTCAGGGTTTAAGAACTGTGTGACCACAGAGCTAGAGGAATTGAAATAAAGAACAATGGACAAATGGAAGTCAGTTGAAAGACAGGATTGAGTGTGAGGACAATACAAGATGACCTTATAAGAGAGAAGGAAACTTAACCCCACAGCAATTTCCTCCCGTTGATAAACTTGGAAGACAGAGATGGTGCCACCAACAGAAAAAGATAGTCTACTAGGAGTGCCCACTCCAGGCAGGGGACAGGAAAAGCACACAGTTGATTTACACTTGCTGACTTTGACCTGATGGTGGGTGTATTAGTTTGCTCGGGCCACTGTAACAGAGTAACACAGACTG